TAATTGCAAATAGAGAAATTCGAGAGGGCATCATATTTGCTTTTCTTTGGTGCTGCAAGTGTTGTTAGTTTTGCTAGGGTAAAATGTATCGTCTTGAGCACCGTCATGCAGCTAGGAAGAAGCGATCACTTCCAAGACCTTCTTTTGATCCCTTGGACGTCGATCATATCGCTGTTGTGGTGATTGAGGAGGTCGAAGAGGTGATTCTTTTGGAGGAAGGGGAATTTATGCCCAAGGTAGTGGAAGATCTAGGAGAAGATGTCCATGATGCTGATGACTTGGCTTAGGACAATGGGTTAACTCTGGTGGAAGTAGATGACTCTCCCCCGCTCGAAGTTATTAGACATGAGGTTAGGCCTCTGTTACTTCACTTAGTGGTAGATGCTCCTCGGGTTTCAGATCATGAGGTGGTGCTTGGGAAGGTGAATTCAGAGGGGGAGGTTCAAGAGAACACGGTAGAGCATAGGGCAGCCTCCATCGTTTCTGATAGTGGGATGGACTTTGAGGTACTAATTGGGGCGGTCTTCAAAGAAATTATTGATAAGAAGAAGGTTGGAAAAAATGAGAAGCATGATGATGGAAAGGACATTTAAAATGTTAATGGGAAGAGTCCTGTCAAAGAAGGGAGAGAGATGAAGTCCAAAGGAAAAAACTCAATGAAGGGCACAAGATCCTCATCGAGGTTGTTGGCTTGGGGATTTCTGCCTATTGATGTTGTTGCTAAAGGAAATATCATCCCAGATGAGACAATAGTAGAAATGAGCTAGGGACGTTCGTCATCATCTGACTCATCTATTGTGGAAGAGGAATTGGATGAGGCCATGGAGGAAGCACTGCTCCTGGAAGAGGTTTATTTTGGTACGAGCAAGGACGGTCCTGGTTCCTCCTCTTCTAAACATTTTTAATGATTATTATTTCATGGAATGTAAGAGGTTTTGGCGATCTCAAGCGTAAGAAAGACATCTTTTTTTTGGTTTGTAAGTTTAAGCCTACTGTTCTCATTCTGCATGAAACTAAACTTCCAAGTCCTTGCCTGTCTGATGTCAGGGAAATTTGGGGTCCTAGATCAGTGGACTTTATGGGGATTGACTCTGTTGGGGCTTTTGGGGGGCTGTGGATCTTATGTAATCTTACAGTATTACAGTCTTTTTGTTGTGTGAAAAAAGATAACTTCTTGGTTAATGGTTTTGTGGGGCCAATTTCTGGTTTTCAGTGGGGTTTGATGAATGTGTACGAGCCTCAAGCTTTTGCTCTTAAAGAAGTATTTGTTAATGATATGTTGGATTTCCTTTTAAGCTTTAACTACTCGATCTGTTTAGGGGGATTTTAATTTAATCAGATGGCTGGATGAGAGTTGCCATGGTGGAGCTATTACCTCAACCATGCGGTTGTTCAATAGGTTTATTGAATCCCGTGCTTTGCTTGATATTCATATTTCGGGCACTGTCTTTACCTGGACAAATGGAAGTACCTCGAATATGTCAATGTCAAAACTTGACAGATTTCTAGTATTAAGGGAATGTCGGAATCCTTGCCTCTTGCTTCGGTTAAAGCATTACCTAGACTATTCTCTAATTATACCCCTATAATGCTTTGTTCTAAAGTTGTCTTTGAGCGACCAAAACCTTTTAGGATTGAAATAGGATGGCTCCAAGAGAAGAAAGTGGTTGACATTATTAGAAGTAAGTGGAAGAATACCATTTCTATTGGTTCTCTTGATTTCCAACTTCACAATAAGCTCTTAAATATCAAGCATAAGGTTATTGCTTGGCAAAAAGAGAAGAGGCATCATGTCAAAAGCAAAATTGATGAGGTTTTGTGAAGCATAGAAGAGATGGGCGTCATTGTTCAAAATAATAGTGTTCTGTCTGAGGAGATGGTAGTGGAGAGAAATATTAAAACTAATGAGTTACAGGAGCTTAGAAGGGTAGAAGAGGTATATTAGAAGCAAAGGTCTAGAGTCAATTGACTTAAGGAGGAGGACATGAATACCAAGTTCTTCCATGCCATAGCAAATGCACGCAGTTGTTAAAATGATGTTTCTAGATTGATGATTCAAGGAGTTGATCATGATAGCAATGGGATATCTAATGCTATCATTAGTCATTTCCAAAAAAACTTAACTTCGGAGGTAAAGTTTACGTCTCGGTTAAATTGGGTGGGTTTCAAAGTTATCCCTTCAAATTTGCAAGTTTCTCTTGAGGAAAAAGTCTCAATGGAAGAGTTCAAAAAAAACAATTCTTTCTTTGCCATGAGATAAGACACATGGCCCTAATGGATTCCCTCTATTCTTTTTTTATAAGTTCTAGAATTTGATTAGGGGAGAGTTGTTGGAAATGGTTAACAGTTTCCTTAGAAGAGGGGAATTATTTAAAAGGGGTTAACTCCACCTTTATTGTCCTGATTCCTAAGTAGTCAGCCATTGCTAATATTGGGGATATTAAACCCATTAGCCTTCTTACGAGTCCATACAAAATTGTGGCAAATGTATTAGTTGAACGGTTAAAGGTGGTTTTACTGATTATTATCACTAGACCTCAGTCAGCTTTCATTAAGGATTGATTGATAGATGATAGTGTTTTGGTTGCACAAGAGTGCATTCATTCAATAATTTTGAGTGGAAATGCTGGGATAGTGATCCACTGTCCCCTTTTTTATTTACACTTTATGCACAATGTTTTAGCCTTCTTGTGCAGAATGTAGAAAGTAAAGGACATTTTTAAGTTTTCATTTGCCAAATGAGGATCCTTATATTACTCATTTACAATATACAGATGATACTCTACTATTTTATGAGGATGAGGTTGACCAGATTAGCAATATTGCTACTTTCTTGAGGTGTTGCGAGGTGGCTTTGGACCTTAAGGTTAACTTTGAGAAAACAACAGTAATTGACATACATTGTGATGATTCTGTGATCCTTGATATTGATGAGATGTTGGGATGTAAGGTGGACAATTTTCCAATCACATATTTAGGAATGCCAATTTCTGATGGTTGATTCCTTTGGCTATTTGGGATAAAGTAATCCAAAGGATCCAATTTAAGTTGGATCTTTGGAAATATAAATACCTATATTTAGGGGAAGGATAACTTTGGTGAGGGCTTGTTTGTCGAACTTACCAATATACCAAATGTCTATTTTGCAGATCCCTTCATCAATGGTCAAGAAAATAGAAAGCTTGATGAGGAATTTTCTATGGGGTTCTTATGAGGAGTCTAAAAAGTTCCATCTCCTGAGACAGGATAGGGTGTGTATGCCAAGAAGGGAGGGTGGTTTGAAAATAAGGAAAAATAAGCTTGTTATCCAAGCCTTACTTTATAAATGGTGGTAGAGAAGTTTGAAGTTTAAAAATAATTTTTGGTATCAAGTAATAGCTTCGAAATGTGAAGTGGATAGGTATGGGATGTGGGTTGGATCGAGGATTGGTTTTAGGAGGATGTTTTGTTGTTGGAGATCAATTAATTTATGAAAATCTTTAGTTCACAGGGATATTCGATGGAGTTTGGGTGATAAAAACAATATTTCTTTTTGACATCATAAATGGATAGGCTCATCACTCTTGAAATATGTTTTCCCGGATGCATGTCAAAGGATGGATAACCCCAATGTTATGATTTATAATTGCTGACACTTTTGAGATCAAGGATAATCAGGTGTGGAAAGGATTTCAGATGAACTATTTGCAGAGTTTGTTTGCCCTATTGTCGATGAGGTAGTTTGGGATATTGATATAGATGAGATATTTTCGTTTAAATCCATGTATCATTTTGTTTTTTCATGATCGTTAGAGATGGTCAATGCCTGAAGTTGCCAAATTTTGAAAGTGGCCTATAATGCTTAAAGTTCAAGCATTCTTATGGTTGGCAGTTCAAGACAATGTGTTAACGGTGATAATCTTATCAACAGTGGGAAGATTTTGCCGAATATATGTGTGTAAGGAGGATGGTGAAACAGGTGCTCATTTGTTTCTCGATTGTCCATTCACGTATAGAATTTGGCGTTCCCATAATGGGATTGCTATGGTTATACCTCCGGAAGTTATGGGTATAATTTCAAATTTATCACTTTTTTTTTTTTTTTGAAGGAAGTCATGGGTATAATTTCAAATTTATCGCTTTTTTTTGTTTTGCCTCAAACAGGTGTTGTGATTTGGCAATTGGCTAGAGGCGTGATTTTATAGGAGATGTGGAAGGAAAGAAACAAAAAAGTTTTTGATGGGATGAGATTGCTACGATTATAACTTCAGAAGTTATGGGTATAATTTCAAATTTATCATTTTTTTTTTTGGCTACAAACAGGTGTTGTGATTTGACAAATGGCAAGAGGCGTGATTTTATGGGAGGTGTGGAAGGAAAGAAACATAAAAGTTTTTTATGAGATTAACTCGCCATTTGAGAGCATTATAGAAAAGATATTTCATGTTATCTAGCTGTATTTATGTGTTATAAAAGTTGGACAAGATATTTTGGAATCGGACTTGAGGAGAAATTTTACAAACCTATTCCAAATAGGCTTTTACCAAATGTAGAACGAAGGACTGATGGATACCACCTATGATGGGTGTCTTTAAACTTAACTATGAAAGAAGTTCGTTAGGGAACCATGAGTTAGCTGGTTGTTGGAGGAGTCGTAAGGAACTGGGAATGAAATATCGTTTTTAGTTATGCATGTCCATTTGGGGAAAAAACAACGAACCATGTAGAATTCCTGCTCTTCTTCATGTTCGGAAAATTTTTGTGACAAAGAATTTAGGCCCCTACTATGTTATTGAAGGTGATTAGCTCAATGTAATTAAACAGTGCAAGAGGAGGAGAAGACTCCTTGGGAGTTTAGGCCCTTTTCCTTGGCTAACAGGTTTTTCTTTATCAGTTGTCTGCAGTTCTGTAATTTCCTTTTAGTTACCTTTTTAATAAAAATTCTATCAAAAAAAAGTCTCCACCTTTGGCTACAAAAACAAACGGTAGATGTTCCTACTATGTACGGTAGAGCATACTGCACACTTAGTACGCTCCCGAAACCAATTGCCTCTCTCTCTATTTCCTAGATACCGGCTCTCCTTGAATATCTCTTTGGTATCTGTATTTTCTTGCTGTGTCCACTCGGCATGCTTGTCCTTCACCTTGGAACAAGAGACCCATGTCCTTCCCCTTTGAGAGAGATCCATGGTCAACCCTACTGTTGGTTACCTTCACTCTTCCTCCATGGATTTTCCTGTACTTCTTATTCCTTCATTTATACTCTAAAGTCTAAACAGATATGAAAACCCAATGCCCCATAAAATGTGAAAAACCAGAAGACCCCAAAAGGTGAAACCAGCTTTACTCTCTTCTCATGGTTCCATTCTGTTCTAACCCACCTGCGAAATCTCTCAATTTCATCGTTCCAATGTTGGGTCTTGGTCTTGTTGTCATCTTCTTATCTGGGCTCTTCGAATTGCCAGCTGCAAATGTTAATCTGATAGGAAATTCTAATCAAGTTGGGTCCAATTCAGGTGATTTTCTGATTGCAGATCACTTCACTGACATGTTGGGTGCCTTCAAAAAGTGGGATTCTATGGTGGGTTGTGCTCAATTTACACAGAAATACAAGGATTGGTCATGGCATAACTCCTCGATGCAAGACCCCCATGCCATGAAATGCGGGGATCTTAAGATGGGTCATGTGAGTATACTGGTTAAGGGGTGGACATGGATTCCTGATAATTTGGATGGGATGTATTCATGTAGATGTGGGTTGACTTGCCTTTGGACCAAATCTCCAGTTCTTGCTGATAAGCCGGATGCTTTTCTCTTCGAGACCACAACACCACCATCTCGGGTATTCTCCTTAAAGCTCAAATGCTTCAAGTTCATTTAGTTTTCTTTTGTTTTCTTCCTTATTTTTTGTTGCGACTATAGTTGCTGCTATTAGTGGATGCTTTTTTAGTCTCAGCCAAAAAATGAGAAACTTGGTGTTGCTTAGATTGTTAGGCTTATAGGAATGTAAGATTTTGGTGGTACATGGATATGTTTGTTACCATTGACGATGATGACAAGGCTTCGATTAAGAACGGGTGAGGGATTTAGGCTAGGGTTGGGTGACTGCGATCTTTAATTTTTGGGTTTCTATTAATTTAAGATTTTGCATAACTTGTATTTTGTTACTTTTCGTTGTTCCCCATGGTTGAGAAGGATTTCGATTTCAATGGGAACCTTTTGGAGGACACAATAATTTGTGTTTTGGTTATCTGGCCAATTGCCCATTGTGGAGGAGTTCTCTCATGGGTACGTTCCTTCACAGTATTGCATCTCATGATGGTCTAAGTGCCTGCATTTTGATATTTTGCTCAACTCTAGCTTTACTGTACTTGTGGAAAAATAAAATGAAGATATGTTATATTGGTTGATCTCAATTTTGTATCTTGTCTTGGATGAAAATGCCTCAACTTGGATGCTGCTAGGCCATCATTCAAACATAAAATTCTCCTTGTTGCAATCGAAGCCATTGCTGAAGTTATATGCGTGTGTATCTTGATAGGACATCTTATTTTATTTAGATCCTAAACTTTAGCAATGGAGAAACTGTTTATTGCTAGCAAGAAATAGTTGATTGGGTAGTGTACTTCATGTTGATGAGATTGGTCATTTCACATGACCGTTTGGGAGAGCACAAAAGAACCAGATTTTGAATGAAAAGTGCCCAAATGCATTGGAGTTGCCATATGTGGGAGTGGACGGCCTCTTTTGGAAATGAGCTTGGCTTTTGAGTGGTGGCTTGTGAAATCCATCTGGATGGTCATAGACCCACAACCTTTTCCAATACTACTATGTACAAAGGGGTCAAATTAACTTTCCTCAAAAAAAAGAAAAATGTACAAGGGGTCTAGGAATTGGGAGAAGAATTCATAGGTGCATTTGGGATATGCTAGGACTAGAAGTTTCATGCTTAACAAGAATATTCCAAACTTCATTGAGATTAAAATGGGAGAAGAAATGTTTAGGGTCATGTGGTAGACTAAGATGCCCAGATATGGCTAAATAAACAGAGGATAGGGATGCGACTCTGCATTTATCAAAATCCAGGATATAGATATGCGGATTCGAGTAGCGTATCTAACACATCTATGCATATAAATAATAGTTTGCATAATACATAAATATATGCATCTAACACTTTGATATATATATATATATATATATATATTCCATATCATAATCCATAATATAATATTTGTTCATTTTTTCAATAGTTAGTTCATGTCAAACATACGAGTTTTCTAGCAGTATCTGGTAGTAGTATTAATGTCTACATGGAACGGCACTGGCATATTAAGTGTATAGAAATACCCTTGTGTCATAGGTGGTGGACAAAAAGGTTGGTACAGAGACTAAGATGGACGGAAATGTATTGATTATTTATATGCAAGAAGTTCACAATAATGAAACAAATAGATAGAGGGACCTCAAGGAGACCTAGAGGGAATTCCATCATTATGAAAGTTTGGAAAATTGATATAAGTAGAACAACAGTGATTAGAAAACTGAATCTTTTGTTGAAGGGCGTTAAGGAAATGTTACTTTTATCTTTCCCACAATTTAATATCAACAAATACAGCATGCAGTGGTTTCTTAATTGTGATCTTACTTTTGGGTCTAGGAAGTCATTTATAGCTAGCTGTGGAGTGCTTCTTTTGCACGGTTTATTATACCTTTTATATTTAGTTGAGAGCTTACCTACTAGTAGTTAGTGCTTTTCCGTTGCAGAAAAGAGATCCCTTACCCCAGCAAGTTCAGTCGTTAGCGCGCCCTCAACAACGAGGGCTTTTTGTGATATAGGTTTTTGTGGACAAGTGGCGGGGATTTTAAATGTGCAATGGTGGGTGGCATTTGAATGTCTATATTTAGTTACACACTATTACATGTGTTGGGGGTAGGATGCTTGTTCACTGGTTCATGGCTGCTGACTAGAGCAGTTTGTTATACTGAATAGGGAATTGCAGCTTAACTGGGTTCCATGATGCTTTTCTGACGAAACTCATATCGAAGGCTTGTAAACCTTGTGATGGTTTTCTTATAAAACATCTGTTTGTTTGTACTAGGCCTAAAGCATTGCAACTCTAAAACTCAATACAGAACTCGCTAGTGCTGCTATAAAGGAAGAAGCTTATTGATCTTGTATGATCTCAAGAAGTTAATTGAATTTGCAATGAAAGACACAAAAACAGACAGGCGCCCAAGAGTTAGCCGCAAGGGTATGAAATCAAATTTAAACTTGCTCTTTTATTGAATTGGAACTGTTTTTCATTAACCAAAGAACAGGGATACAATTATGTTATGTTTCCATTTACAAAATTTAGTCTATCTAGAAACAAACTCAAGAGAAAACCAATTGATCATGTAACAAGGTAATCATCAAAGCTGGCTGGAGGTCTCTTATCTAGCAAAAGCATCCCCTTCTTCATTGGACTTCCTCCATGAGTGATGGAGGGTGACCTGTAGCTTTCTAGTGATCCAACATTTCTTATAAAATATTATGTAGATGCCAAGGGCGGGACTGTCATTCAGCAGCCTAAGAGATGACAATAGAGGAGTCTCCTTTTATAATGATTGTTTTCCGCTGTTGGTGTAGATTTCCATATCCAGTGAGCAAGGACCACATCAGCGCCTCATTGGAATCACATGTGAGGAGGACATGAGTAAGTCATTGATACTGTTCCCTGGCGATTCCTCTCAATTCCTCTAATGCCAGAGGGACCTGGATTCCTTCTTGAGCTTCCTTGGAAGTTCAATTATGCAGCTCCCTCTAGTGGTGGGATCCACTTTGTGGAGCGAGGTTAACTTCATACCTTCCTTATTTCAATTTTCGTTCACCAAGTTTCAAAGCTAGTTTCTAAATATCCTAAAATTCATTCTTAGATGTAGCCCATAAAATAATTGTGGCCTTGACTTGGTCCTTCATCCTGTCCACTCTAGCTCTTTTAGCTTTGAACCATAAACTATTCCTCTAATTACAAATTGACTGTAGAATTGCCAGCAAAGTTAACCTCCGTAAGATGAAGCCCACCTTTAGGGCTGGCAATGGACCCGGACCTGACCTGGAACCCATCGGGTATACCCGACACCGGTCCGGGTATGGGTCCAAACCTTGGACCCGCGGTAGGGTCCGGGTCCTTCTTAATGGATCCGAAGATTCTCGGGTATGGGTCCGAGTACTAGTGGACCCACCCCATACCCAACCTAGGACCCAAAGTTTCCCACCCCTTTAATGAAACCTACCCTTCATTTTATAGCAACCCCCGTACATTACCTCTCTAAATCTTTCGATGTGGGACTAGAAGATTTTCCCAACCCACAAAGCAACAACAATTTTCTCTCTCTCTCTCCCCTCTTTCATGACATCCAAATTTTCCAAAATCGTTACACACGACTTTAAATGCTCATTAGGTCCAAATTTCTCAAAATATTATACGACGCGTTATATGCTATTTAGGTTAAAAATAGCATGGAGCCGCAAGACCATATTATATAAAATATTATTCAATCAACACTTTCTATTATTTTTTTCATTTAATCTCTAATTAACAAAAAACACATTGTTATATTTTATTAGCATTAAAAAAAAAAAAACTAGGTTTATCCTCATACATTTTAAAGAGAATTGTGCTCCCTCGGGAGCACCAAGGTATTTTGTCGCTAACACGAATGTGTAACACATACGTGTGAGAGGTAATAGATATTTTCAATGATAAAAATTGATTATTGAAAATGACAATAATTACATCCTCTTTCATGATATCCAAATTCCCAAAACATTACACGACGCATTAAATGTTCATAAGGTCCAAATTTTCGAAAATTATCACGCTGCATTAAATGCTCATAAGGTTAAAAAATAGCGTGGAACCGCAAGACCCATAGTATATAAATTATTATTTAATCAAACACTTTCTATTTTTTTTTCACGTAATATCTAATTAACAAAAAAACACATTTTTATATTTTATCATCATTCAAAAAAGAAAACTAGATTTATCCTCGTACATTTTAAAGAGCATTGTGCTCCCTCGGGAGCACAAAATTATTTTGTGGTTAACACGGATGTGTAACATATACGTGTGAGAGGTAATAGAATATTTTAATGATAAACCTTGATTATTCAAAATGACAATGATTACATCATTTTTCATGATATCCAATTTTTTCAAAATAGTACATGCCGCCTTAAATGCTCATGAGGTCCAAATTTCTCAAAATATTACATTCCCAAAATATTACACGTAGCATTAAATGCTCATAAGGTTAAAAAATAGTTTCGGGTAACTAGACTATGTAGCCAATGGAAAAACACTAGTTTATTTGTACTCGTATCCGACGGAAAATTTGGACCTTATGAGCATTTAAGGCTGCGTGCAATATTTTGGAAAATTTGGATACCATGAAAGAGGATGTAATTATTGTCATTTTGAATAATCAATTTTTATTATTAAAATATTCTACTAGTTCTCACACGTATGTGTTACACATCCATGTTAACGACAAAATAATTTTGTCCTCCTAAGGGAGCACAATGCTCTTTAAATATTCGATAATAAATAAAGTTTTTTTTTTTTCTAATGATGATAAAATATAAAAATTTGTTTTTTTGTTAATTAGAGATTAAGTGAAAAAAATAATCGAAAGTGATTGATTAAATAATATTTTATATACTATGGTCTTACAGTTCCAAGTTATTTTTTAACCTTATGAACATTTAATGCGGCGTGTAATATTTTGGGAAATTTGGACCTTATGAGCATTTAATGTGGCATGTAATGTTTTGGGAATTTGGATATCATGAAAGAGGATGTAATCATTATCATTTTCAATAATCAATTTTTGTCATTAAAATATTCTATTACTTCTCACATTTATGTGTTACACATTCATGTTAGCCACAAAATACCTTTGTGCTTTGGAGGGAGCAAAATTCTCTTTAAAATGTACGAGCATAAACCTACTTTTTTTTTTAATGATGATAAAATGTGAAAATTTGTTTTTTGTTAATTAGAGATTAAGTGAGAAAAAATAATAGAAAGTATTTGATTGAATGATACTTTATAATATGGCCTTGCGGTTCCACATTATTTTTTAACCTTAAGAGTGTTTAATGCGGTGCGTAATATTTTGGGAAATTTGGACCTTCTAATCATTTTATGTGGTGTGTAACGATTTTGGGAAATTTGGAAATCATGAGAGAAAGAGAGAAAATTGTTTTTGCTTTATAGGTTGGGAAAATCTTCTAGTCCCACATCGAAATATTTAGAGAGATAATGTGAGGGGTTGGCTGTAAAATGAAGGGTAGGTTTCGTTAAAGGGTGGGAAACATTAGGTCCCGGGTCGGGTATGGGGCGGGTCCACTAGTACCCGGACCCGTACCCGAGAATCTTCGAATCCATTATGAAGAACCCGGACCCTACCAACGGGTCCAAGGTTTGGCCCCATGCCTGGACCCGTGTCGGATATACCCGGCGCATCCCTGGTCAGGTCCATTGCCAGCCCTAAAGAGAAGGGGTCTCAAAACCAGCTTTGGCAGTGACCTTTATTGGCGATGGGAAAAAACTTGTAGTTGTAGGGGCTGCACCAACCAGTAGTAGTCATCGTAGTATAGTAGCAGCATCAGCAGTAGCAGCAGTATGGTGGTGGTGGTGGTAGTATTCATAGTTAAATGGGGTAGGGCTTAGGTGTGGAATGCACTTATTGTAGTGTGTTCACCCTTCTGAAATCGATCTTGGAGATAGGTCAGCGATCCAAAACTTCACAGGTCTATCATCTCAACTAGCATAATCATGAATCTGAAAAAAATGAATTTTGAAGCTTAAAAATGATCCATCTTGTACCCTTTATTTTGGACCTTCCATTTTTATTCTCTAAGGATCATCAGTTCTTCATTGTTTTTTATCTCCAAGATCAAGATTTGAGTCCGAAATGGATTTGTAGTGATTTAGAGTGTTTTTGAGTTCTGAAGCCCTTGAAAGCTGGGGCAGATGCATATGTCTGCAGACTTGCCAAAAACTTTTCTATGAAATATGATGCAACGAATACATTAGAAAGAACCTGCAAAAGAGTAGAGCTCTGGTGTTAGGAAAACGGGCAGGGCGATGTGTGTTACACCATTCGGTCAGTTAACCTTCTCTCAAAAAAAACAAAAATATTACACCATTTGGTCATACCACCAACATCCCCTTTCATCATATTGAAATTCTGTACTTCTATGTCAAACTTAAATCGTCTTGTTCTATGCTGCTGTATAATACTTGGCCAGCTTGCTTATCAGATTATATTTTCAGAGACGCGAGGGAGATCCACTCCGTGTGTATATGGATCTTGAGGCTGGCAGGAAATCATCAGGCTATGAGGATATCTTTATCAGTTATCATGCAAAGGATGATGTGCAGTCAACATATGCTGGTGCTCTCTTCCATAATAACCGGAATTATTATGTATCTCCTCAGAAGAACAATGTAAGCACTCTTAACCATCCTTTCTATTTGTTAATACTTTTATTTGCTGTGATTCTTCTTGTGATAAAGACTATCAAATATCACTATTGTTTGTGATTTACCTAGGCTTGTATATTTGGCTACCCCTTGAAACTATTACAAGGGGGAGGGGTGAGGACAAGGGATATTATCTGGTTTTTGTCCGTTTGTGTATTTTCATCCCTTGTTATGAGTTTGTCTGCACAGTAATAACTGTATAGTTATTATACTTGGGGTTGTTAATGTTGTTGCAAGCTGTTAAAATCCTTATCTTGAAATCCCTGGACCAAACAGAATAATTATTTATGTATGAACATGCTCTTTTCAGGAATCATGAACTATAAGAGCATCTAAATTCTTTTGCTTTGCAGTTGTTAATTAACCTAGTTGTACCTTGAGGTTGTAGAGAGTATATGTTCATGAAGGGGTGGTTCATATTTTACCCTGGGGAGATTACCAACTTGGATATTAACTCCCTGCAATGCTGGAATACTCTCTCTCTCACACCCCACCCTTAGAACAGAACAAACAGATACGTGTGTTATGCATCTTTACAAGAGCTTTCTAATGATGTGTCATACAGTGGAATAAGAATGCTGCCTTTTTGCCCTCTTATTACTTTTCAGGACACACTGGTTTATTGGTCTTCATCGAGATGCCTGCCGAAACGTAACCAGCTAGCGAGAGAGCTGCTCACCCTCCTTCCGCACCACTCTTTTGGCAACTGCCTCAACAATGTTGGGGGCCCAGACATGGCCCTGGCTTTCTACCCTGAATGTGGGTCCCGCACAGGCCATGCCCCAAAGTGGTGGGACCATCTCCACTGTGCCATGTCCCATTACAAGTTCGTGCTGGCCATAGAGAATACAGAAACTGAAAGCTATGTGACTGAGAAGCTCTTCTATGCCCTCGATTCAGGGGCCATTCCTATATATTTTGGTGCTCCAAATGTGGCAGACTTCGTTCCTCCGCACTCTATAATTAATGGGAAGAAATTTGAATCATTAGGGGCTTTGGCCAAGTATGTTAAGGCTCTTTCAAGCAATCCTGTGGCTTATGCAGAGTATCATGCATGGAGGAGGTGTGGTGTGATGGGAGGGTATAGAAGCACAAGGGAGGTGAGCCTTGATACATTGCCATGCCGCCTTTGTGAGGCTGTGAGCTCACGTGAAGGGAGACGAGCACGAACATAGTGGATGCATTTTGGTTCTTTAATTTTTATGTATTTCATTTTTGTTATGAGGGGTTTTGTGGTGAATCCCAATCCCTTTTATTGTCAGGAAGAAGTTGGGTGCTGATTAATGATATCCAAATATGCATATGCCCTGATGGATTGGTCTGGGAGACGTGGAAACTACTGTTTGACTGTTTGTGCAGAGGGAGTGTGGGCAAAAATCATCAGGGGGTCAGTCATCTCTCTAGCTCTGTGTATACGAGTAATAGAATGTGCGTTGCATGTTTAATTCTATGCAAAAAATTTTAGGTAAAGCTAATATAATGTTAAAATATTATTGTTAAAGAAAGATTCATACTTCTATTTTTTGTTTAAATTATGGTGCTATATCAAAAGCATAAAAAATTTGACAAATGCTTTTAGCCTAAGTATATAATGGGGTTTATGTGAGTCCTCCGACTCATATGTGCATGTGCATCCCCCATCTAAAGTCCATCTTAAAGATGGATTTTGAATTTAAATTTTAAGAGATCCATGATCTAGGCTATGGTGATCTTGAATATGGAAACAAAAATAAAATTTTAAAATTTTAAAGTAATTCTTTTTTAAAAATTTTTGTACTCTATATTTTGGGTGCCCCTTTCTCAATCTTTATGATGGATATTGGAGAGAGAGCGAGGACATCTAAACAAAAAAGCTAGGTAATAAAGATATCTGAATAATATTACGTAGTTTGAAATAAGAGAGTGGCCAAACATGAACACTGATTTTATTTTTCGACTTTCTCAAGGCCAACAATATCGAGGCCATGTGTCATTGGGTGTTCTGCTCCATATACGGGGCAGCGCGGTTAACTCCTTATACGATTCAAGAGTGAAAAAAAAGAAAAAAGAAAAAAAAAAGAGACACATTTAAGTTGGAAAGCCCTTAAAAAATTATAAAGGGCATAAAGATCCCAATTAAAAACAAAAACATAGAAGGTGAAAAGCCCTTAAAAAATTATGAAGGGGACCAAAGACACCCATTAACACTTGAGTATTTGTTTTTAATTTTCATTTCACATGAGTGCTTCTTCAAAACAAATCTTAAGATATTTTCAAATTGCCTCTATTCAAAGTTGGAAAGTCTCAACAATCAAGGGGCATTTTAATAATTTAATTATTAAGGTGACCAACCAAATGACATTAGTAATTGTTTAAATGCTCTAGAATCTAAAGATTTTAAAATTAATTTGACTAAGACAGAGTATATGGAGTGTAAATTTAGAAATAGCATGAGTAGAGACAAGGAAGTAGTTACGATTGACGGTCAGGAAGTACAAAAAAGACCGCATTTTGATATCTTGGGTCGATAATTCAGGAAAATGGAAATATCAATGAAGTTGTTGTACACAGAATTAGAGCTGAGTGGGTGAGGTGGAGGTGTGCAATTGAAATTTTATGTGATCACCGCATACCAATGAAGAACAAGTTTTATAGGACAACGATGATAACAACTTTGCTCTATGGAGCGGAATTTGGGAGGACAAAAAACAATATACCTATAGAGTGAGTATAGTGGAGATGATGATGTTGAGATAGATGAGTGGCAAGACAAGAAGGGATATCGTTCACAATGAATCTATTCAAAAAAATTTAGGCGTGACACCAGTATGCGATACAATGAGAGAGAGTAGACTTAGGTGTGCTGGCCATATGTGGCACCGACTAAGTATAACGTATGTTAGGAGGTGCGAATTAGTTAAAGTGGAATGACTGAAAATGGCAAAATATAAGTCCAAAACGACATGATCGGAAGTAATCTGCAAAGATTTAAGGACTTATGGCCTCACTGAGGATATGACATTTAATAGAGAGCAGAATGAGGAGCTAGGATGCTTGTAGCCAAAAGGCTAAAATGATGATGATGATGACTATTGCTTGTTTAAAAATTACGAACAAAGAATACGTTTGTTCAATGTTCATATGAGGAATAATTTTAAGTATTTAATTGCGCAAACAAGAAAATGATTAAAAATCACTTTTTTCCTTCATTGTTTGGCTTTAGAAAGAACAAAAGGTTTTCAAAAAAATAAGTTCTAACTTCCTAAAGATGAACAAAAAAGGCTTATATATAGCTGAATCTGGGCAATGTAAACTCGCTGTATATTCAGTTAAATACGACAAATGGGGCCAAGTCGAATTTAGATCCCATGGTGGTCAGATCTTACTGAAGAGAGTGAACCATCTATAGATCATTGACAAAGCCGGCTTTAAACTCATCAAAATAATGAATTAAAGACATATGAAGCAAATAATAAAAGAAATCAAAGAACAATACTATGAGAATCGAAAATAAGGAAGAAATGAAGAGAACTTACGTACGGTAGAAGCCTATGGCCCCGTACCTGAAGTGATATGCACGTGATATTATAAAGGGGTCCAAGATCCCGATTAACATTGAATACTTGTGGCAGGTTTTTTTTATGCCTGATTAGTGCTAGATTTCAATAATGTTGTTGAATTTAGGGTGCTAGAAGAAGGAATTCAATTGGTTAGGGAGTTCAATCCTTCTTACCTAGAGATTGAGAGTGATTCTAAGATTTTGGTAGGGACGCTCGCGACCTCCTTGGTGGCTCCATAATCTTATTCTCAATTGTTATTAGAAGCTTTATAATCATATTTGAAAAATAACTATGTCTTTAGGGAGGCTAATTATGTTGCGGATGCACTTGCAAAGTATGCCACTAGATATTCAGAGGCTAGGATTTGGCGTTGACGACCACCGGATCTTTTGGACCCTCTCTTCATTTCTAATACAGCTAACATCCCTTACGAAAGGGTTCCTATTTAATGAAATGGGTAGGGGCTCCTAATCATGCTGATTTACCTAAAAATAAATAAAAAAAGAGTAGGAAATAAAAATTACCGCATAACATACAGAAAATAAGTAGAAATACCTAGAATGACCCTAAGGAGTCCAAATTTATCTCATGTAGCATCCAAGACCATGGGTAAAATGCTAAAATTAAGTTTTATTTGAAATTAAAAAGGTCATGACATTTTGAAAGATGGGGAAAATCAAATTATTTATTAATTTATCGTATATTAGTAGGGAAATGGGAGTTGGCCAATGCAAGAAACATCAACCAATCAAATATGCATAGAGAGAGAGAGAGAGGTGCCATATTTTGTGTGAGAGAGTGACATGAAAGGGACAAAGTGCTTTGTTAGAGTGAGGAGGGTGTGTCTTAGAGGGAGATGGTAGAGAGAGGCGTAAGTGGATAGAGTGACAGCATTCTTTGTGAAGGTGAGTACCAAAACTCAATCGTATTTGCCAATAAAAGATAGTAATTATTTTAATGACCTAAATGATATTAGGTCATAATTTTAAAGGGATTGTCTATAAAGAAAACATTTATCTTTTGTACATGAAGGTCACAATCATTTCCATTTATTAGATGTCAAATTGGATAGCTTGAGATGAGTCGTGAAATTTGAGAAGTTTTTTTGGGAACTTTATGTCTATTCAATAACACTTTTACAACCACATATTTTGAAATTTAAGGGACATGAATGATTGTGACCTCCATGTTATCATCATCATCACAGTCTTTTCCAAATTAATTGGGTTTGGTTGCATGAATCCTGATCCATCATTCTGCTATATTTAAAGCCATACTATCAGTGATGCCATAAGCCTCATTATCTTTTTGGACTACTTCCAACCACGTCTTTTTGGGTCTACCCCTTGCTTTTTTCAATCCTTGCACTTGAACGAACTTGCATTTCCTATCAGGTATTGTTACTGAACTAACTTGCACCTCCTATCGCCTATTGGTGTCACACCTAAACATTTTCGAATGAATTCATTTAGGACTTTATCCGTTCTTGTCTTATCACTCATCCATCTCAGCATCCCCATCTCTGCTACACCTATTTATAAGTATGTTATTTTTTGTCCATCCAACATTTTGTCTTATAAAGCAAAAATGGTCTCACAACAATCCTATAGAACTTACCTTTCAGCTTCATTGGTACACGACGATCACATAAAATTCCAATTGCATATCTCCTCTTTGCCCACCTAGCTCTAATTTTATGTACGATATCTTCTTTAATCTCTCCATTTTCCTAGATTATTGACCCAAGTATCGAAAGTGTGGTCTTTTTGTACTTCCTGGCCGTCAATCTTGACTACTTCTTCGTTTCTAGTCCTATTCATTAAAACTTTCATTTCCATATACCTTGCCTTGGTCCAGCTAATTTTAAAACCTTTGGATTCTAGAGCATCCCTCCGAAGTTAATACTTTGCGTTGACATCGTTTTGGGTCTCATCGATCAAAACAATGTCATCAACGAACAACATGGTATCTCATCTTGCAGGTGCCTAGTTAAGTCGTCCATAACTAAGACAAAGAGGTACATACTCTATGTTAAGTTTGTCCAGTAGTTGTTTGCACACTAGTTAAAGCTCCATCGTACATATTGTGACCTTCATATATAAAAAGATAAACGACAATCCATTTTTCAAATAAGTTAAGATACAAAAAAATAAGTGCTAGAGAAATTGTATCCTAAGATTGAGTAGACACAATCCAATTTTTGGACGGTCAATTCTAAGTTTTAAAGGGAAAAAAATAATATATATATTTTTTAAATAATCTTTGATAATTCCTAAGTGTGGAATTTTGTCAAACATCTCCTCCCACCAAATAAATGGATAGTGCAAAAGGTTGCATCTCTACTGCAACAGGTACGGCTGCGCCCTTACGAAAACATGTTGTTTAAGTATCATCATCTTTAGCCAACTAAGATGTGGAGTGCCCTCCTAGGGTTGTATTCCCATAAATAAAGAAGCCCCATGCATACGGTTGTATTCTCATAAATAAAGAAGCCCCATGCATACTTTGTAGGGGTGTTGTTTGTTTTTGTTCAAAAGCTTATGCCATTCATTTATTTGAAATATGTGTCTTTAATATATGGGTGCAGTTGGCATACGGACGCCTCCGTAGGTGTAGAGGTACCGTGCCTTTCAAATTTTATCATGGTATATAATTTTGATGTAAAATGTTATTAGGACTATCTCAAAATCTATTTTTATATCTAATTATAAAATTTTAAATTTCAAATTTTTTTAAAATCAAGTAGATCTCTAAACATATAAAAATCTTGAA